TGCATAACTGAGCTTATTATATAAAATGAGGTAGATAACTGGTGAGAGGTTGATACAAGTAGTAAGAGGTAGCCACCACAAAAACAAATTTCCACAATTTTTTTTTATTTACAGACACAACTCATTCAGTCATTCAATCATCTAGAATCTATGACACAAATGATGCCCTTTTCCAAGTTTGTGGTCTGAAATCAAATCTTTCATGCTGGAAAATGTGAAAACTCTGATTAAGGAAACAATCTAATTAGGTCCCTATCACTGAATTGGAATAGCAATTTGCGAATGTTTTAAGAAAGTTTGGTATAAAAACAAGCTAGTATTCCTACCACTGGATTTACAAAATGTTTTGCACTGGAACAGCAAATCAGCTAAGTAGAATGTACAGAACAGTTTGTCACACCCCAACATCAGTATGCTCATTCTCCATACTGTTCTCTATACATTTCCTAAGGTGCTGACAAGGAGAATTTGTCCAAAAAACTAGAGCTTCTTTCATTCGTGACCATTTCCTTTACTCTAGTGACCTAAATGTGTGCCTCAGGGGGTATACATTTAGCGAGATATTAGATGCAAGTCACTCTTACAGGCTAAAAGATTAAGCTACAAAGAAATGAAAATTTACTTTCTTGGTAGATGCAGAAAGAAGATATAGGGAAAGGTGCCTTGAATATAAGTAACTCAACCACACCTTGACAATGACCTCAAAAAGCAACACCAGGGAGGCTACTCTTGATAACACTGTCAAGAAGTAAAATACTATATACAGCAAGAAGGGCCTCTTCATATGAGTCCAGTGCCCAGATGGCCAGCAGGTAACTCCCCCCCCCCCCCCCCCCCCCCGGAAAAAAAGAGAATAAAGAAGTATAAATGTGTGGCATGTTTTACATGTGGGCAATGGAGACTTCACTGAAGGAACCTTGCATCTCCAGAAACAGGCTAGCATACATAAAACAATAGAGAGGATATCACACTTTATTGCTGTGGCAAGGTGTGGGACACTGAACCAGCCTAAGCCAGGCTCATATGAAGAGGCCCTAAGACTATGGGAAAGAAAAAATTTATGGTGCATTTGGTGTAGCTGTTACTCCCGTCCACAAGAGCACACCAGGTGACCGTGGACATCAGCAAGAGCTGGTTTCCTTACTGGGCTCTGTATGGAGGGAATCATCCCACACTTTTGCTAATGCTTTTCCCTACATGTGCAATGCCCTCTTCATTTGGGTTCTGTCTGCATACGTGCCAATTAGCCAGCTACCAGAAACAAGCAACGTTGGCATTGGGACTGTGGAGGAAACTCTTCATCCCTTCCTCCTTTGAAAACCTTTTTTAATTATTTTTGAGCAGCTTTGTGATTTACTTTTGTTATCCAGGCTGGTTGCTTTCTTCTTCATTATGCTTTCTGACCTAAATGGAAGGAACAGACAGTTGAAAGCTCCTTAAAAAAATATACAACACAAGCAGTACAACCTTACAATGGCCTTGAGTCTGTGGCTCAGTGTTAGAGCAATGCAGTGTGGAATCTAGAGATGTGGGGTGTTATTATGATTCCACAATTATGCCATTTTATCATATTAGGGCACTGGAATACACAAAATATGCCACAGTATAACACTGTAGAACAGGGAAAAAATACAGAACAGATTCTAGTCCATTGTAGGCAACCCCCTGGTAGTTCACATTATTTCCCAAGCAGTCTAGTACCCTTTTATACTCCTGAGTGGACAGAGACACTGTGAGATTAAGTGTCTTGCCCAAGAACACATCACATGGACCTGGATGGGACTTGAACCCAGACCTTTACTAGGCAAGATGTTACATCAACTCAACCCTCAAAAATCAAACCAATTCAAACAGAATCAATATGATTAGATGCAAACAGGCCAAATAACCAGGTTTAGTGTAAGAAAGCTAAAAAACAACGTAACAACAGCAAACAAGCACAAAAAAAGGTTTTTGGTGCAATAAAGCTGAAAAGAGTGTTGTTTAGCAGCAAAAAAAAAATGTTGTTTTGAGTGAGATATAGCTAGAATCAATGTGATTAGCTGCAAACAGGCAAAACCTTTTTCCACTGCGAAAAAGCTGAAAAAAGCGCAATAAAGCAACAAAACAGCAAAAAGGTTTCTTTGAGTGAGATGTAAGTGGTCTCAATTCTCATTGTGAATACTTACAATCTTGATAATGTGTTCGCGAGATTTTTCATTTCCGTGACAATCACTCTCCTGGTAAGGTGGATCAATTGTTACTTCATTCATGACCACAATACTTTTCCCATTCCACTTGACTTCATTAATTCTATGGAATGAATGTATCCATTCTTAGTATAGCCAAAAAAATTTTTTTTTTTTTTTTTTTTACAACATGATACTTATATTAACTACATTAGGGTTCCTTTCATGGGATTCTCTACGTATATTGCGTCACACTACTTACTTACAGTACTCTTAAGATACAATTAATATTTATTAATATTTATGCTACTTACATTGTTCTACTTACACTACATACAATGTGATAATGCACACAAATTAGAGGCAAATCACTTCAGACAGAAACTTATTCTCTTTTCTTTTTCCAAAAAATTATAAAAAAAAGTATAGCCAAAATTGTGGATATCAGAAATTACAACTTCCTACTGTTTTTTGCGCAACTCAATTGGTTACTTTACACCACAGGGTACATAATCACCTAACAGTTATCATGCAATCATCCCTGTTTACAATAATATTTTTCCTGAGATTATTGCCATCAATAAGAAGAAAAAAAGAGAAGAAAAAAGCCATCTAAAGAGTTTCACTTTTTCGTGTTTAGTACTTTACATGGATGAAAAATATATGATTGATTGCAATAAGCTTGGTAGTGGCATAAAAAAGCTGATCTTAAATGCTGCTTTGGAAAGAACAAAACACTCACCAAAATTTGCAGTCAGTGCACCATACAAAAATTAATGGAATGGTTATGAAATAATCAAACCCCTCCTGGCTTGCTGATATGTCTACTGATAATGTCCTTAGCTCAGAAATTTTCCTCAAAATTTTACATTTGCCCTTAAAGCTTTGCTCCTCTGCCAAATATTCAGTCTGGGACAATATCTCAACATTATCAGCCAACATACCAGCCGCCTGATTCATTTACTTAGTATTGTCTCTCCACAAGATCACACCTTGTGTTGCAAAATAATAAACTGATTAAAATGAAGCAGTCATAACTGTTTGTTCTAAAATACTAGTTCTGATGTAATTCCATGTCCCCCTCCTAATCGAATAATGGATCAAAATGTGATAAATTAAAAGGTGATTCCAAATAGAGACAAGGATGTCACTGATATTCTTCTGCAACTTATTGACTTAAAAAATGGAATATTCTTGCTTTATTTAATTAAAATAAAACTAAATTGAATTTATACTCATTTTTATGGATATACATTGTCAAGCAGAAAGTCCGAATTAAAAAAGATAAAACTGTTATTTCATCAAGCCTAAAAGTTGTGTATCCTACTCTCAAAATTGGTATTTAAATCATGTCTGACATATTACATGGCTTTGTGTCATTTTGTCTCCGACATCACTCAACCATGCCACTTGTCCAAAATAATAATTTTGCAATGAATTTCTAACAACTCTCCAAACAATTTTTTTACAAAAATGTTTGGAGGAAGTGAAAAGCTTATTGTAATCAATCAATTTAGCCTTTTTAGAGAGTATATAACTTGAAAAATTTGCCCAGGAAACCAACCTTAATTTTCCCACACACACACAACCTGGAACTTTGTAAAACTTACGTTTTGTTTATGGTGTCGAACAGCTTTTGGGCTCCTGGTGTTACATTGATGCCTATTTTCTCTACTGCTCGTCGTTTCTGCTCAAGAGCTAATGCAATCTTTTTATCAATTTTGTCATGTTCTACACATGGCAGAGAAGGAGGTGGTTTGTTGGATACTTCTGAAACGTTCAGCGTCTTCATGCGAGCCAAGTTCAACATCCTTATATCTGTAACATTTTTCTTGGGGTTCTTGGAAGATTCTACACAGCTTGTTAAGGTTAAATGATAATATTGTATCCTCTAGCAACAATGAATCAATTGTTGTAGATCATAGAGAGTCACTTTTACATATAAATGGATAATTTACAGTTAAAAACTTGGTTTGTACATGCATACACAATAATAGACCACGCTTGGCTTTTGTGAATATCATCACAATATCAATACAATATCAATCAGATAAGAGATGAGAATAAAGAAAAATAACAATTTGGAGACAATTAGTTGATTCAATACTAAATTCTCTGAACTAACATTATAAGAATTCTATGGTTGGCAGTACGGAGAATTACAAATGTGATCTGGGAGTTGAAGGATTAAGTATTGTACAACAAAAACCAAAGTAATCATATAGCCAATCATAGCAAAGGTCAAAATCACAAACAGCTAATGACAATGCAAATAAAAACAAACAAACAAACAAACTGTTAAAAGCAGGGGAAACATGGGTGTCCAAGTCACCATTGGTCTCAGTTTTAGATCTTATTGGATGAGACGATAACGCAAGTTCTCTGGACCAATCACATATCAAAGTGCAATCCTGTATTTCTTTTGTCAGTCACTTAAAAACATTTCTCTGAAATGGATTAAGCTAAGTAGTGTTTATAGCACAAAGGCTAGTGCTGCCGACCAAATCAGTAAACAAATAAATTAACACGAAACATTACAAGGTTAAGAACTCCACTTGGTGGGAGGCAAACCACTAAGTTTTTTCACATTGACCTTAACCTCCCATTCCAATTCTCTTAGTGGGCAGACATGATAACTTCCCCTTGTTTCAGTCTTTGCAAGGTACAGAAGGGGTCAATGATGAAAAAAATAAATACATTTTCCAGATATTGGAATTCTCTAAGGAAACCATTTACTCGTTTCATTTGTTCAATTGCCGTAAAAATCAGCTCAACTTTAAGTCAGCCACACACACAAAAAAATTTCAAGCTAAATAGTCAACACCATTGACATCCTCTTAGGAAGAAGCCATCTAACAGCAAAGAATCAAAAGAGCTTTATAGACTTAACTTAACTCAAAACAGCGACACACCTCAGACAAAATGCGAGAAGAAAATATCTTGCATGGGATAAGCCCATTCAAATAATGAAACTGGAGCGTTTCTTGCCCTCCTCGCTTCCTGTTTGGGTCCCTCGCTTGATTAAAATCCGTGGAAGAAGAAATCACTGTACATTGAACGTTAAATGTCCTTACCGAGTAGGATAATCATCGATGACCGCTGTTATTTGGAAACGATAAAAAATTCTTATGTGTTTAATTAATGACACTTTTAAATTAGAACTTCATCGAAAAATATTTTACACTTCCTACATCGAAAGAAGACGTTTATAAAATTTGTAACGGTTTGCAAAACAAATTCACAGCATTAATTTACCACATGTAAAAACAACACAGATACTGCCAAAAATATAAAAATCCCTAAAATTGAAGATCCTGTTTTAGTAAATTCAACATTTCGATTATGGTGTAAAAATCGCAGCTCACGATCCTTTGGCGAATTCTTCGCACCACGAGACTCTGCTACCGGCAACGCGTTGCCTCAAAAAAAAAAACGAGCGATCAAAGTAAAAAGGATACTAATTACTAAAAGCTTGGCTCCGTAATCGAAAGCCACAACTTCTCCTTCAATTTTTTCATCAAAGCAAGTGGTACAAACCACTTTCGTTCCCGGTGGAATTTCTTTGCTGTCTTTTGCGTCGCCAGTCGCCATGTTTCCACCGGTACTTCCACTCATGCGTACACGAGTTCTAAATCCTGCCTTACTAGTTTTAGGAGAGTTTGTAGTTTGATCGTTTGTCGAGCAGTATATAAACTTCTGAACTCATTCAATTGGCTTTAAGTTACAAATAAAGGTATAAATAGCATTTTTACTCTTGACAGTTGCGATAATTTTTTAAAACAATTGTCTTTTCCTCTCAAGAATTTGATCCTTACGTCATCTGTTTTCTAATCTTTTTCATGAGTATGGAAACCGCTGACACGCGACCGTTAGCACAACAAACATGGCGGACGAAATGGTGAGTGATTTTACTCGTTTTGTTTGATCTTTCAGCTTGACAAACAGTGAGTACCTAGCGGAAAACAGCATTTTTTATAATATCTCGAACCGTCTATATATACATTAAAAAAACCTGTTTAAGACAGATCAGATGAAACAGAAAGGTTCAACCACATTGACGAGATTAGGAAAGCAGGTTGTTACACTTTAATGCTCTTCTTCGAGACAAAATGGGTCGGGACACTTTTTTGTAACTTGCAATTTTCTGTTGCTCTTCTTTCTTCTTTCAATGTTGTCTTTACCTCTGTTCCCTCGGCCGCAGATAATATCGAGAGGGAGAGGAGCCGCAGGTAGTACTAGTGTCCATGCAAAATTTTTCAGGAGTTTACAGTAGCACTAGAAGATGAAAACGAAATTACACAGATGTTTTGGTGGATTGATAAGCTTGGTTGAAGCAACTTTGTGATTCTGATATACATGTTATGATTTCAATGGGAAACATGAACACATTTTAAAACATGTTCATGTACGTACTGGTATATAGTTGTTTTTGTTATGGAAGAGACAGTTTTATTTGAATTGTCCTAGGATGTTGATGACCTTTTGCTTGCCTTGGCCTATATGGGCTTTGAACTTGAAGACTGCCAGATGGCTCTAGAGGCAGGCAATACCACTTTGGAATCTGCAGTAGAGTGGTAATTTGTATATATATACATTTTTAAATAAGCACACACACTTGCCAATAGTCAGAACCCATAATTATGTACTAAGCAATCTTCTCAGTTATGAACACTACTTAATAGTGAAAATAAGGCCAGAAAATATTGAGGCCTGTACAGGATTCAAACCCATGACCTCTGTTTTACCAGTGTAATGCTGTACTAACTGAGCTAAGAAGCTAACTGAGAGCTGGTCTACTGCTTAACCCTTTCACTCCCAAGATCTTATTAGCAATTCTCCTTACCCTCTGCCATACAATTGTTATGATGTTAGTTTGTAGAATTGGGTATTGGATCAATCTGTAAATATATTTTTTCTATTCTCACGACTTGGTCTCTCACAGGAGTAAAAGGGTTAAGTAGTGTTCATTGCTGTGAAGATCACTTTGAAATTCATATTCACTTCTTAATCAGCAGTTCAGTCATGATTTTGATATATTCACAGTTGTTTAATTAGAACTCAGTGGGTTCAGAACATGCCAATGAAACTGGATGAGTTCTGATTTGGAATGAGGTTGTTTATTATTGCACTCAAAGGATAAATTCTTCAAACCCTTAGAGCAACTGGATCATGTGTACTATAGGTGGCCTTGGTCAACATATCCGTTGACTATTGGTTGACTATCGACCGATAATTGGTCCATAGTCAACTGATAGTCGACCGATAGTCGGCCGATAGTCGGCCGATAGTTGACTGATACATCGACCGACTGACGGCCGATGCATCGGCCAATATGTAGCGATCAACTGCCGGTGAAGTATTGGTCAAGTATTGGTTAAGTATTGATCAATATCGGTCAAGTATTGGTCAAATATCAGTCGACTATCGACCGATAGTCGGTCGACTGTCAACCAATAGTTGACCTATAGTCGGTCAGCAAGTACCTTGACAGTTGACCGATATATTGGCTGATGTATTGGCTGACATGTCAACCGAGGCCACCTACAGTACACATGATCCAAGCAACTAGCCTCATAGAGGAACATCTAAACTCGTCAAAATGATTTTTGAATGAAGTAGGTTTATGCTCTAATGCCTCACCACTGCATTATCCATACTCCCTAATAGTTTTGGTGTTGCCCTGTTATTCACTCTTAGATGGTAGCAAAATAGGAGGGAGGGGTGCTGATCGCATTTCAGGCACAAATTTCAAGAAAATTTCATGCGTCAAATGTACTTCAAACATCATTTCAAACATAGCAAATTTAAATGGGTAAACTTCAGATCTCCCTTATTGTAGGCAAGGTTTCAAGGAAAAACTTGAGATTTCTATAATGTTAAAGAAAAAATTCAGGGATTATTTATATATCAGGAAGCAGATAATGCCTCACACTAGTTCATAAATTCACAAATCATACTCACCTGTTGGTAAAATTCACTGATCACATAATAATTTTGGCCTTACCAATAATCGCGCGTCCTATTTAAACATTATATCCCTTTGCCACCCTCTCAGTAAAGGATTGTACAGAAAATTACTTTTGACTCTTTGTTGGTTATAAGCATTTCTGAATTTTTTTATGGATTTCTGGTTCCTATTTTCTTCAGGTTGGTGGTAAGAAGATCAAATCCAAGTAATTGTGTTTCTAATCCTGGTCCTGAGGCAACAGTGGAAGTATGTGATTGTATAAAACACTTTAAGTGGGTATTAAATATTATTAAGCAAAGCTTTACTGGTGTGCAAACATGATTCAAACTTGAAGTAGTTTGTGATTTAAGACCATTTCCTTTATTCTCCCAGTTTTAATGTTTGATGTGGGTATAATTCTGTAAGGAGAAGTAGATGCTAGCCATTCTGAGGAGGCAAAGGGTTAAGAGAGATGATTTTTGTGTAATAAACATTTCATTTTTCACAGCCCAAGGTTTCTCGTGAAGAAGTATCTAGTGCACCTAGTGATAAGATTCAGGCGTCATCCAATTTGTCAAGCCGTTATACAGTGAGTGAGGAACATCAGAAATCCAAGGAACAGTTTATGGAAAAGGAGAGAGAAACTGCCAGGATGGAAGCCAAGAGAAGAAAATTAATGGAGAAAAAAGTGAGAGAACATGGTTTGACAAGATTTGACAAGATTTTGTTTTTACTGCTTTTTTTTTTTTTTTTTTTTAATTCAGTGAAGGAGAGATCTCCTTTGCTTAGGACAGAGTATTAGAAAAAGTTGAAGTTATACCTGGTGAAGATCAGAAAATTATAGTTGTATTTTTAAATTATCAAAATGGAAATTCTTGATTATGATGATTTCAGCGGCACATTCTGTGTATGTTATGTGTAAATAAACAAAGCTTGAAAAGTGCTCCATGGAAATAACAGATGTGGAAACATTTCAGCTTTGTTTCTTTCACATTATTCTAAGCTCTGTGCTTTCTTTTGATATTTCACACTTGTCACTCTGTAAACATTGACAGAAGGGAATGGAATATATGAAAACATTCTATAATTATTATTTCATTGAGTAAGTCATGGAAAAAAAGTTCAGTCAATAGCAGCAATGGTTTCAGATGGTAAATAAAATATGAAAGCCTGCCAAAAGGAGTAAAACCACATGTTGCCATTGGAAACAGAGCCAGTCTCCCTTGACAATAACATCATTTTAGCACCAACTTGTGCTCTCCCAACTTTTGTTGTATCAGTTCTTAACTGAAAATTATGGTGATAATAAAGTTATTCTGATGTTTTTCTGCGAAAAGTTGGTCAAATTTTTCCATTTTCAAAGGATTTGAGGACAGTGGCAATAAGCTGATGCGCCTGTTTTACTCCAACTAAGAAGTAGCTCAATGGGATTTATTTTATTTTGTTTTGTTCTTTTCTCATCATTGCAGGCACGTCAGGAAGTTCTTCAGCAAATAGCTGCAGACAAAGCCAATAGGCGTGATAAAAAACCAAAACCACCTGCACACTTTGCAATGATTCAGACAACAGATAAAAGCAGGGAGCCTGGTGAAAGCTCAAAACAAAACAAACAATGTTTGATTCAGGTGTGTGGTTGTATATATACACAGCTGTTTTAAGAAAGGTTGTCAAAAAAAGCATTAAAGTGCATGTAACAACTGCAAAAAGTGTTTTGGATAGTTTCAGGTCACAGCTCTTTGACCTCAAGATTTTAGCATCGTGGGTTTGATGAATTTGTTTATTTATTTGACTTATTGACATTCATTGATTACTGGATACTTAGATTACCTTTCAAGATTGCTGTGTGCACTTTTGTCATTTTTTCTGACAACTGTTTTTGGAATGGCTATATATGAATGTAGAACTACTGTAAATGGACTTTTGCACAATCTGCTATAGCACTTGTTCATTTCAAGTGTGAAGCAATGTCATGTGAGAAAAATGTTTGCAGTTTCCAAACATGCAAGTCGCAAATGACATATTTGTGACACTGCAAGTTGCTTAATGTCTTTCAATTTACCTAGATAAGAAGTCCATCTGGTCAAGTGCAAAGGCAGACATTTCCGTCGGATGCCAAACTCCAAGATGTTGTGACATTTATTTGTAGCCAGTACCACCTAGATTCTACTGGCTTTGAACTTTTGCAGGTGTAGTATAAATAATGCTTGAACCTGATAATTTTGTAATCAACAGTTAATTTTGCATTAAGTGTAGCTCCAAAATATCAGTTTGGAGGGCGACAAGTAGATGATTTTCCAATTGGTACACCTTTCCTCTCCAATCAATGTTGTTTCTGGTTGTTGCTTCTCTGCATATGTGGAAACAACTGTGGAGAGATATGTAACAGTGGATGAGAATGGAGCAGAGGTGAACTGTAGGAGTCAGTTGGCCTATTACTCTATCGCTGGACTTCTTTGTGTTCTCTCCTTTGTAATCAATGTTCTTTTCATTTGTTGCTTCACTGCAAAAGAGGAAATAACAGCAGAGATAACAGTGGGTGTGAAGAGAGGGGAGGTGAACTGCAAGAGTCAAGTGGTCTATTTCCCTGCCAGTGGACTTCTTTGTTTTCTCTCCTTTGTAATCAAATTGTTCTTTTTATTTGTTGCTTAACTGTAAAAGAGGAAATAACAGTGAAGACAACAGTAGGTGAGAATGGAGGGGAGGTGAACTCTAATGAG